TCTATATACTATCTTAAAAACTAGACTAAATAACCATATTTGATGCATTAAATAAAAATATTCAGCACTATAAAAAAACCTTATTCTAGCCTATCTTTAACCCTAACTCTAAACTTTAACTCTTTTTATAATATTAATTCTAATTTTAAATTTAAAATTAAAAGGTGTTAAAATTAGTCTTAATCATTTAAATATACAAAATTTAGAATTTGGTTTAATACAATCTGGTATAAACTATTGCATAATAAAAATTATATAGAATTCTAATTATGAAAAATTTTTTAAGAACAAAAGATCTAGCAGAAACTAGTAAAAATATTTTATAAGAGAATATCTAAAACTCTCTTTTCAAATACTTTATATCTTATTTAAGGCATAAAAACAATAGACTAACTTTATAATTATAAAAGACTACTTTAATAGACTTGAAAAGATTATTAAAAAAAATTTACGTAATATAAACATCTCTTACACAGATGGGCTTTTGCCATTGTTCGATTAATGCTGTATGCTTCAGATTGACTTGTAATCTATTCTTTCCTACTATATATCCATATATACTCAACTCTTTGTACACCAAGTGACACTTTTTAGCAGTGAAGATAAGCCTCGCTTGTTTGAAGCTTTGTGCTAGTTTTACAAATTTATCGATATGATCCTTTAACTCTTTATCGGTCTAGAGATCTACATCATCTTGGTATACTGCAGCACTGACTTTCCATTCATCACATCCAAGACCACATCCATCAAACATTGGAACGTTTCGCTTGCATTTTTCAACTCCATACACATAACCGTATAATGCAAGATGCCTAGCGGAGTCGATACTGCCATCTTATCCCTATCCTTTTTTTTAATCTAGATCTGCCAGTATCCTTTATATATATTGACAAAAGAGTACCAGTCATGCTCTATGGACTTTTCCAAGATATCACGAATCAAGGGCAAAGAATACCTATCTTTCACTATATACTTATTAAGGGGAATATATTGCCAACCACATGTAGTTGATCAGTGCTACTGTCTTTTTTATTCACCAGGAAGCAGTAGTAAGGATATTGTCCCATCTCTTTTTCAAGTAACCCATTTTTTAACATCTTGCATAATTGTTTCTCAAATAATTAAGCTCTGGCCAGATTATTGATCCTAAGGGCTGTATTCTAGTAACGGGGACTTCCTTTCCTCCTTCGAACTTCATATTTGATTAAATTTATTTTCCCATCTCCAATAAGTCGAAAGCAAAGACCTCGAGAACCTTCTCAAGCAAACACCTTTTGAGATATTCTTGATCTTGGGCCAGAATTTCTTTATTTACATCAAAAATGATCAGATTATCCCTTGTTAGTTGCATGATTACTTCGGGCTCACCCTTATTTACATACCCAGTCTCAGACTTATTCGTAGTATTCTAATACACTACTTGTCTACAATAGGACCATGGTAATTGTTCATCACTGACTGGTTCAATTTCATAGACTTTTATCACGGCCACACTTTTAACATTATTGAGTATTTCGACACATAGGTTATTTAATTCATCCACTTGAACCCTTCTCATTGTTATGAAGTCTGGATCATCTTCATCATTAGCTTCTTTTTTGAAATCATAATTGTTTTTTTTGGAGACCCACCTTTCAGGTGTAACAGAAGTGACAAAAGACACTTTTTTCATTCTGGAGGTAACCGAGTATCAGAACTGATTATTCTTCTATTTCAAGTTACATTTGGCAGCAGCTATTCAGGGTATTTCCAACAAAATATCGAAGCTGGCCGTTTGCATAATATAAAAATTCTGAACAACGATTAACTATCGATATCCACTTTAATATTAGATATATAATCAACAAAGTTACTAATCCTATTATTGGCCATTCTGCCTCTTCCTTTAGCTGATTTCTAAACAAGGCCCCTTTTATTAGTATAATTAACATGCATATGGTTTAAACAGGACCCAGGATCAATGGGCATGTCAATTAATTCGTCATTTATTCTAATTGTCCCCATTGAGATATTACCCACTTATTTGTTAAAATTGATTTGAACAGCCCTTACTATACTAACATTAGTGTCTAACAAAGACACATCAGCTTCCCTTTCCTTTCTTGTTAGGGCCTTTAATATTTCCACATGGGCTTTTGGTGACTATTTAAAAAGCTGACCCAAGGTTACCATAATTTCGAGCTCAGTGATTATCTTCAAAATGTCAAGTTTCTAGATCAATTCAGTTAGAGATATATACATTATTGCTCCTTTTGTTTGAAATTCTCAGTTGGTGGAATTCTCATTAACTCTGTTCCTTTTTTTAGATAGGTTGGGAGCAGATGCGTATACTTATTTGCACAAGTGATACAAACCAAATAAGAAAAATTTTTATATAGATCGCAAGATCAGGTATAACCGTTGAAAACAAAGACTTTTTCAAAAAATAGCCAATAACTCAAAATTCTGCCTAAGAAATCACCTTTAATGTTCTAATAAAAAAAATTTCTTGCAAAATTTTAGTATATACTATACCTTACTCCTAACCCTAATATTATGACTCTCATATATTATTTGTGCTAATAAAAAAAGATATATTTTGTTTTTTTCTTTTTTGGTTTGTATCACCTGTGCAAATAAGTAAATCTAGAAGCAGATTTATCCTCAGGGTGCTTACGCTTTCTCAAATTATAATTTCTTATATCAAATATTGGTTCACTCTTAACCATTTCAATCTTAAGATATTTATCACCACTATCAGATAAGACTTCACTTATTTCAAAATATCAGATGCTGGCTCCTTGTAGATCAACACCTTTCAGATTGGAATTTCTTGCTTCAATACTGTGATTAGTAGGTAGGTTGGGTGGGGCTCTAGTTGGACAATTTCTTGATATGTAGCCTTTTTGGCCACAATTGTAATACCTGCGCAGGTTGGTTTAATTAGACTGACTATTTGGTGATGGATGGGTGGGATTTTGCCTTTGTTGCCAATTCTCTTGGATGTCTCTTGGTTGATTTCAGCTGGGCCGGTTTTGTTGATTGGGATTGAATTGACTTTTATTGTTGGCTATGTCCTTAACAAGCTTGGTAAGTTCATTAATAGTAGATTCCAACTTGTCAATTCTTTTAGCACCCTTTTCACTTTGACTGTCCTGACTAACTTGACAAATCTTTAATTCAAAAAAGGCATCAGCCAAGTCATCAATGTTGAGATCATCTAGTAAGTTGATTCTTCCCCTATTATATTGGCCTTTTTCATATCGAACTCGTCACTTTTTTCATGCTTCTTGATCTTGATCACTCAGTCTTTTGTTTTCTCATAGGTTTTAGGGTAACATTGCTTTACTTTTTCTTTATACTTGACCGGGAGGCCTCTGAGGTACCAATGTTTTGCTTCACGATTGCTACTTCATTTTTCACCTTTTTAGCACAAACATCGAATCGGTTGGTATAAGAGACGATACTTTCATCTTCATTTAGTTTGAGGTTCATCAAACGCTCAATTTTCATCTCAATATCATACTTTGATTTTGCAGATTTTAGGATGGTAGTCTTTATGTCTTTCTAGGAGGTGTTATTTTTCACAATATCCCTAACCCAATCACACAATGGTTCTGCAACATGCAGGCCAACTACAAGCCTAATTTTGGTTTTGTTCCAGTCTTTCATAGCGGCATATCCTTCATAGTCGTCAACGAAGTTTTTAATAGATTCACTATTGCTCTCGTAATAGAACGGCTTTGTCAAATCTTTTGTGCTCATTTTTGTAAGAACATCATGTCTAATATGCTCAAATTATAAAGGGAACACAAGAGTACAAGGCACTAAAATATTATTTTTTTTGTTATTAAAATTAATGGTTTGGGCGATTGAGATGTACCAAAAACAGAGCAAAGGTATGTAATTCAATATGTAAATGCTTTAATATATTTTATATTATTCTAATGAATGTTTTTTTTTTTTTGTTATTATGTTGCGAGAGATATTGTTTAATATGCCCAGTTCCTGCTATCATGGTAGGGGTTAATTAAAGTATATATTTCTCTAAAAATTTTGCCCAAATGGCTTGATTAGTTAATCAACACTCGCAGCCTTGCAATATTCATTTTGGTATCAACACCTTCTCCCTTTACTCAACGACTTCAACCTTCTATCTTCAGGCACCACAGTATAACAAGTCAGGGTTTTAGTAATTAATTTTATGAACAAGCAAAAGTAGAGGTATCGATTCATAAGATCGATTCCCTTATTTATTTAATTAACAGATAACCTTACATCATACTTTGGTCATACACGTTTGACTTTTAATTGACTTATTTCCTATCATGCCACTTTCTATTAACCCTTATTACCATATTATTTATACACTTGGATCTATTATGACATTATTTTGCAGCATTTACTAATTTACATATTACTCATTTCTCTAATTTATGCATTACTGATTCTATTAATTTATGTGTTACTAATCTATTAATTTATGCATCCTAGTTCCTTTGATTCGAACTATATCAGACATCACATGACTTATTTCAGCATCCAGAGATGCCAAAATCGAGAATTACAATTTATATATATATATATTTTTTTTTTGCACTGTAATTTTACATTTCGAATTAAGCTTGCCCTGTGTTATATTATTCTGCCACATTAGCTTCGCTTAATTCTAGTAACTAACAATGAATCAAGAAACTCAAGATATAGACAAAAGAATCAGAATAATAAATCAAGAGTAAAATCAAACCCTGACTACAAGACTAAAGAAAACAACATAAAGGGAGCTACTTGAAAAATAGAAGAAAACTTATACCAAAATGAAAGATATCACAATAAGAAACCAGAAGTTTCTAAAAGTCACAATTATAATAGATATATAAACATGAATTGTATTACAATCTGGAACCTACTAGTAGATATAAATACAAAAGAAGTTAATTATATTTGCAAGAAATTAGATACTTATATAATAAAGATTGAGACTAGACCTTACTCTTAAAAAAAAAAAAAAAAAAAAAGAAGTTAGGTACTATAGAAAACATATAGATCAAATGAAAAAATGGTAAAGCTTTGGTAGTAGTTGAATTTAGTGAAAACTTGAAGGGTATAGACATACCTTGGGCTCTTCCAATAGGAGATAGAAGACTCGCTCATGTATATATAGGAAAAGAAGATCATGAAAAAAGAAATAAAAAGCACAAATATATTGCGAAACTTACAGAGATTACAGAAGGTCTCTCAGAAACCCTTTTATTAAGATATCTTAAAGACAAGAAGACAAAAGCAGTTTATATTCCAAAGAAAAGAAATGGATATATGAAACAAATTGCAAAAGTAACCTTCGCAAATAAACAGTAGATAGAAGAAATACAAAGAAAGTTGGTAAGGTATAATAACTTAATTCTCTAATGGGTAAAAGCAAAACAGAAGATTCTGCAACAGAAAATATGTTAAAAAGAAAAAAGAGACAAGATATCAACAAGAATTGGAGAAAAGAATCTAGTAACAAGAGGATGAAGCTCTATTAAAAAAGAGGAAACAGATATAATATAGTAACCTCAGAGAAAGAAGAAGAGTCTAACACTAATGCTATAACAGGCAGTGATAAAGAAGATAATAAAAGTTTTAAAAAGAAGAGAAAAGAACACACTAACTCAAAGAAAAGAAAAGATGCAAAAGATAAAAAAGCAGTCAAAAAAGACAATCTGATAGCTAGAATCGACCAATATTAGTCAATACTGTTAAAGATTCTATATCATCTTGAGAATTTAAGTGAGCAACCAAAGATTGTTTAACACTTCTAAATAGGAGCAACAGTTGAACTACATATAATTGGCAAAAGAATAAACCTCTTTCTGCAGGAAGAAGAATTTAACCAGAAAATAATCTTTTGTAATGAATACAGAAGACAGAAAGAGTAAGAAGATAGCATACAGGCAGGTATCAATTTGGAAGGAAAGCATGAACAATATAAATAGTATAAATAGAAATTATACAAGAAAGAAAACAGAACTTAATATAGCAACTCATAACATCAAAAGTAATATCCAGAAAATAGATTTCTTATATTAGTAAGCAATAGATAATTTAATAGATATTTTAGGAGTTGCTGAAACAAACATTTCAAGCAAAGAAGAAATATGGATAACTAGAGAATATACAAAATATATGAGCTTCTGGGCAAGCTCAGATAAAGACAAAAAAAAAGGTT